AGAACTGGGACAACGACAGAGTTCGTGCGCTTCGAAAATCTAAGATGTTTCGGCAAAAAGATGGCGGCGGTTGTGGAGGCACCGGTTCAGTGGGTGGCGTTACGCGCAACAAATGCGCGTTAGTCATAAGTCGAAAGGAATGCAGAGGATAATGTCCGCTACTTTTCTATGGTTTTTGTACATCCCCTCAGTGATATCTGTATGGCGCACATAGACGTGCGTATGTCATAGCCATAAGATAAAATTTAGTCTTTAATGGTGCTCGTTGAGTAACGGCTTTAGTCAAGACAAAGGTGGACCAAGTTGGAAATAGACATTGAAACATTAGGTACGCTTACGGACAACAAATATACTATACGGTAGAGTAATTGTTTTCGTACATAGAAAACAGCGTCTTGATGGACTGGAATGGCTATTATTCATGATAAAACTCTGCGTAGTGTTCTAGTACTTAAGAATTAAAAAGTTCCATTAGTTCTTCTTAATTGTTATGGCAGCTTGATAAAGGATCAATTATTCCCTGATAAAATTGAATGTGAAGCAAAACATGAACTGTATAATCGGCGGCACCAAAGTCCACAGACAGAGACCAGCTCTGCCTTAGCTGTGCCTTGGGTAGAGTCTACATCAAATAACAATTTGGCAAACAACTTTCAATAAGAGGTCATCATTAGAAACCTGCATCTTTATACTAGCTGCATATGTACTTATAAATACGTGCCAATAGCGTTAAAAAGCATCGTTCTGAATAGCCAGCTATAAAGACAACTGAAGGTGAACAGCTGTCAAAGCCTGGATCCCTTTTTTACCAGTCTGACTTCATCGCACAGGTTCATTCGATGTCACGCACGTCACTTCAATCGAAATACCGAATTGCATTTCATAGCTCAGTACAGGATTAATAAGAAGACTAATGCGACAATCACGAGCTCACGAATCTATCCCATTGCCCTACTAAGCATGGCAACTGATGTCATCATCCACTGTGAATACAATGACCAATAAGAGCTTTTACGTAGTAAAGGCACTGTTTAACAATGGCCTTACAGTAACCTTCATATTTTCAAGGGCAAACATTCGCACCGCAGCGATGACACACAACGGATAACGATTGCCTTGTGACATGTGTTTTGTGCGCGTTTATCGTTGTGATGTTGACGATACACATCGATGAGGCGCCTACGTTGGTACGGGTGTGATCTCCTCGACGTCGACGACCGTTTCGAATTCAGTTAAGGACACACCGATTCGGTAAAGGTCGACAGGTGCCAACTAAAGTTGACTTATCAATGTCCGTGTTGTCGTCGTTGATGGTACCTTTGTTAGCATCAGACAGCACTAAGACTCCTTTCAAGGAATGTTCGGATACCGCGTACGCCTATCTTTCTAGCAGCAGCAGAGCTATGAAGCCATTATAGCTTATGCCGTCTGGCACTTGAAGATGAGCGTTTTCTCTGTATATACGTACGTCTATTCTTATGTCAGTTGCTACTGTTCAAGCTGTCAATAATGCATGCGCATCACCAGCGGCGTGGCTTCAGTGAAGCGCCTATTGAGAGAGGACGAATAGTAGGCCCGGCCTAGCGTGAGAGGCTCTTTACTTCAAACTATTCTTCGATCTTCCAATCGTTTCTATTGTGATCAACAGTTAACGCGCACTTATGACCTGTTATTCGATGTGCGATCACCCTTTGTTTTCATAGAAGCACGCGTCTGTATTGTACAATACACCCTGGACGGTTACTCGTGCCTTCTCGCTGTGACATCGCAGAAGTTGACGATGAATATTACCACGCATTTGTGTGCACTAAATTCTTATACGCTACTTTGTAAAAACTGTAGTATAGTATATAACTGAAAGAGCGCTTATTTTATTATTAAAATTTACTGCTGCCTTCAGTAATGTGACCACTGCGACTGAGAGCGGCCCGCTAATGGCATAACGTATCGGTGGTGATACGTTACGTATCTACCGTAAGGTAGGCGTCTTGTGGTGGTACGTCTTGTGTGTGGCAGAAAAGACGAAGTACGAAAATTTGAAACAGTGTTAAAGAAACAACTCACGTAGTACGAAGAAGACGTCGAACTATTGTATGAACTGAATCTTCGTATAACTTTGATTTGATCCTTTTCGTCTGATCTTGCACGTGCGATCACGAGCGGCAGAATCGTGCCGTGGTCTTGCATTAAATCCTCGCAGACTCCTAATCGTAAAACCAGTTTTTTACCTTTTTAACTTTTAGCTACGAATACAAGAATATAGAGCGTTCTCAGCCTCTTAAAAGTCAGAGAAGCTACGCGAGTGTTCCCGAGAGTTCGCATTAAATTATGGATATATATTAGAATATAATGTTCCTCACGAAGATGACGAACGATGGTACTTTCCTTGGACAAGAGCGAAGCGAATCTTCGTTACTACAACTATTACTACGTTTCGTATCGCACTGAGCTATTGGCCTATCCAGGACACGTGTAGATAGTTATCCGTCGATGCCGAAAATCGGTTAAGTCTCTTACTTTTGCCTATTGGATTATATCAGTTTGTGTTTCCCATGCGTTACTTTAAAAGGTAATTGTTTACCTTATTTATAGAACTATCAGCGGAGTTGCTTGACGGCCAGGTTTTACATTGATAGATTCTAAGCAGGGTTGTGATGTCGTCCCTTTATGAGCAGACTTTGTAAATCATCCGAAAGTGCAGGTTTGGAAAATAAGATTGGAAAATATAGGAGTGTACTGTCAATCTTATCATCTTTGAAGACAACTTTTCTGATATCAACCGGATATCTGATAGAGCATCGCACAGATCCGCAAAATGATTTAAAATTATAGCATGTTTTTTCTCTATACGGTCAGTGGACAGGAACAGTAAAGGCGTAAAGAGGTAACTTGTTAATCTGAGAACTTACTTTTTGCCGAAAGCAAGCATTCATGTAAACACTAGATAAAATGTACCTTATTATCGCTGCTATTGGCTCCTAACGCCTAACACTAAAGTGATAACGACAACGATAGTGACATTGTTGCACCGTTGATCTATTGCCATTTCAGTCTCATGGAGATATTTAAGTCCCGTCATATATATATCATTGTCTATCGTTTTAGGACAGATGTATTGTTGAGGAACAGATTACAGTTTCCTATCTCATTCTTGACGTCAACGATATCTTTTATTCAGTACATATTATATAATAAGTTAAAGCGATCAGGAAGTTCCCTAAGTGTATATTATGAAATTTTCTAGAAGTACTAGTATGAATAATATGTTCGAGCCAACAGTCGATAGCCGATAAGTTATATTAGAAAACGAGTGGAGCGGCCCGAATGCGTCACTGAAGCACTCATTACATATATGAACGTGAGATATATATATATATATATGCAAAACTTATGTTGAAGAGCTTTAACTAAGGTCCAATACGTATTTATTACGATGCTGTTATTTTGTAGATACCTGTCTTCCGGTTGTTTGATAGCGACGAATGGCAGTCGCCGACCGATTGACTATTAGCTTTATTGTCATACCGCATCTGAGAATGAGCCGCCGACGGTTCGTTACACGTCAATGACTAGTATAATCGCTCATAAATATGACGAAACGCGACTCATTTTAGCCATGATTCCGTCCATCCAGTGCTATTTCTGCTGTCGAATACTATATGATGCATCTGCGATTTTGATCCAGGAGAAAGTAGGTACTGTTGCGTGATGACTGGTCCCTTTTTTTTTTTTTTTTTTTTTTTTTTTTTGTTAATGTACAGATATAGTCGGCAGTCGTTTACGCTTTATTGGTTCCCTCGATTCGGTGGCTGGTTGCCTCTGATTGCGCAGAATCACTGCGCCTAGCTAGAGCTGTTTCCGCGGACAGTGAAATTACCTGTTGAGAGTCGTATAGTCCTACTAAGGCTTAGGTCTGGTCCTGGTTCATGATATTGCCGGAGTTAGTTACAGCAGTCAGTATAGTGTTATTGTATTCCATGTCAGAGGATACTGGCCAGCCATGTGATGACGATGGCTTGTACGATTCGACCGTTGGCAGCGATTTCGCCTAGTGAATGGGTAGTGCTTCAAGCGAAGCGGCTCAGTGAACCACCGCAAACGAGCAGAGTCCAACTACAATCCCTGTCCTACGCCACGCATCCATCTGCAGAACTCCACAAAGTTGTGGGCAGCGTGTCCTCTTGTAATTGTTGTTCGTTATTTCTCAGTGTCTGGCAGAGAAAACCAGAGTTCCTACACAACGCCATTCTGTTCGCCCCAATTTAGCTTCGTTGCGTTCTGTCTTCCGTCATAAAATTGCTTCATGTGGCTGTATTTACGTTTAGTTACGGCTGTTACGCGGGAATCATATTCATGGTGCGATCCCGCTAAGTAGGCACGCACCTGAAAATGCTGTGACGTCGTTTCAGTTTATTCGGTCGCTTGAAGTAGTTATCCAGTGTAGACTTGGGTTAGACAGGTCAGACCACAAGGATGTGATAGTCCCTTGGGAGTGTCTCACGCACCGCACTTAACACTTTAGTTTAATGTTCTAGTATTCCGCCTCAATGGCGATACGTGCAAACAGAACAGCACCGCATCGTTAAAGGTAGAAACGCCCCCGATTTTGACCAGCTTGAAGTCGGGTAACAACAGTGGCTGGACTGACTAAAGCGTAGGCGTATCAGGTTGATGACAAAAGGTGTCGGCTTGAGATAGATAATGGAAAAACTATATTTGGCCATACGCAAAATGCGCGACTTCGTTACGAGGTATATATTAGTATGGTAAAAGAGGACTTGCATCAAAGGCAATTGGTAATATTTGATGTAGCTTTGAAGTCTGCTGTGAGAAATTCATAAAGCTGTTCATAGGCCGCGTCAAGGTATCTCAGCGGCGTTTTTAGGTTACTACGAGAAATCTACATGTAGGTCTTCGGTAATATATGTGGCGAGACATATTCGACAAAACTTCTTCTCGAATGTTCAAGTAAAGCTAACCGTGTTTTTGTCTGTCTTCAGGGCTGGTGATGACATCGTTCCCTTTTGGTAAGTCTTATTCTTGCAGTAATACTAACAACGTCGTTATAGAGAATAACAGATAAGAACATGGCCTTTCTCGTAGTATATTGATCTGTAAACGTGGCCATAGTTTTGCTCTTATTTTGCATGATTAACTTTAATCCTATGGCGCGTTGTAGCCTCTTTTCCCCCTTATCCTGGTTCGAATAGCATTTTTTTCAGAAATCCTGTATTCATTCCGATTACACCGATAGTTAATTTGACGGGGCAACTAAAGAAGGTTATTTGTCTGTACACGGTCGTATATATAGAAGATCCGATTGTTATGCCGCATGTCTAGAATCGTTTTTAAGGGAATTATGATGACGGTGTTTTCACAGCGCATGTAAGGAGTTCCATGAATTAAACAGTATTGTCTGCAAAACATCACGTTTTGGACAACTACGGCCATGAATCATGATCAACCATGCATAGTCACAGTAATTGCACACGTTTCAACACGGTTGGGTTGCTTTGGAGAACAATGTTCGATTTTATTTAAAATATTACTTTCTATTGCTCAAAAAAAATGTCATGAATATCAATTTTTGGCAAAATTTGATCTTTTTCTCAGCTAATTCGCTATAATAAAGCATCATCTTTTGTTGTGCAAGAGCATTGGTTTTTTCACAAATAAACATTTTTTTCCACCTTGGTTGACCAAGTGACTTTGTCACATAGAATCATTGGTGGACCATGCAGCTCCGCTTCCGGTCTATATAAACCCACCCTATGAGCTGTACGGGAAAATGGTGTGACTTTCTTGAATTAAAAGGAGGTAGAGAAGTAAAGAATCCTGGTACGCCTCTGCAGCCCGAAGATACAGAACTTCTTGGTTTGGTGGGATTTTTTCATTCGTGCTCACCGCTGTTTTCTACGGCTGCATTGAGTAAACTTTAGTTCATAGCGCCCTCGTCTTGCACATTCTAGCCAGATCTACATGTACTATCGGAATTTCAATAATAAAAGTATAAGTATTCACGTGTACGATACGAGGTAATGTTTTTTTTCACACAACTTTCATTGACATACAGTGTTGACTTTTATCATTCGGTCCATGTGAGCGTCGGCTGATATGAATTACTGTTCTCTAACTTGTCGACACACATGCTGGCATATAAACATTAAATGGTCAGAGAGCAATAATGATTAATTGACGGCTAGCTGTGCCTTAAAAAGACTCCAAATCAACTATAGATGCTTATCTAAGACGTACTCGTTCGACATCATTGATATTAAATCATTTTGGAATTGTTTATTTTTCATTATGTCAATTATGTATCCTTCTAAACGGGTAGTAAAAACAGTGGTATTAAAACCAACATCATGTGGCTTTAACTGCGGCTTTTTCCGCGTATATATACTGGGAAATAGCAAATTCACTTGCAGAGTTGCGTAAATTGCCAGTGATGGAATACTCAGCAGTAGTTTATGTGTTACTCTGTACTGTTTGAATATTGCTAACGTCTCTCGAGTTCATTCCATAGCATGTAGCATCTTATTATGTGGCTGGGTCAAGTTCTCCGGATCATCTCCAACAATTAGAAAGTTCAGATCGTTGATTTTTTAGTTACTTTGTGTTATGTAGAAAACATCTCTTCTTGATCGTGTCTGTTTTTTTCTCCATCATAAGGTTAAACACTGAACAGCAGACGATCGCAAGGCAGAAACGCTTCCGTTATGAAGGCGCTGCCTTCTATTCCAATGCAATCTATTGTACCTCACCGTTTAGTTTCTTGTGCAACATCAAATACTCTACTGCATATAGAAATGAAAGAATATTAATGATCCCTTTTGGCTGTTATCTTTTTCAAAATGACCTTCACGGCGAATTCAAAAAGTTCTAAAGCAGTGGCTTCCTTGGAACGGTACGGTAGCACCAGGAGGGTAAATGAAAGCTTTTGTCAATTTGTGTTATATACGTTTGCCTTTCTTTAATTTTCATTTAACGTGTGCGGTACGTTGAACGTCGAAGCGTCATGAAGGCGGGCGGAACTCAGCGGCGTTAACCGATACACAATTCAATACAACTATCGTGCCAGCAGTCCAATATAGACAAAGAGCGAAACATCTTCGTAGATGTTTGCCCATATATATATATATATATATATATATATATATATATATATATATATATATACATATCTATATAATATGTCTGTGAATAGTGTAAGAACGTCGGTCCTAGAACAGAGCTGGTCGGCCAGATCGCGTTCGTGGGCATTTTTGGCACTTCTGAAATAAAGTGTTAACAAATAATTTCCCAATCGCGGAAAATGGATTCCCTTGATTCAGTAGGTTCACTTTCTAGGTAGATACAGCAAACGGGCTGGGTTGCAGCTCTCCCTTTGAAACTTTGGAGCCAATAGAAGGCGAATGCTCTTCTAGCCTGGTAAGTTTTACGGAAGAAAGCAAAGCTTCTGTAATGGACCCACTGGCTGACATCGCAGCTTTATGTGCTTTTTTCTATGCGACTTTGGCCAGAATCTGTTCTATAGGCGTTTCTAGCTATCGAATATACAAAGGGCGATAACGTAAATAGCGGTTCAAACTCCTTGAACTCCAAAAACTGTAAACGTACCCTAAAGCTCCTACTAGCGTCATCTAACGTGTATTGCTCACGTTGTAGAGGCGTACTAGTATCTGGGACCCGGTCCAAATTGCTTAAAATATAAGTATTTCATATGCTTGCATTTCTGTTAAAAAAACTAATTGCCCTTTTGGGATTCTATATATTCAATACATTCTTTCATAATTGCCACAGCATAATCCGTTATAACAAGGAAGTCCTTTGTTACAAGTTTACACTTGCAAGAAATTTCCTCTAGTCGAGATTTTCTGCTAAATTGTAATCGCTAGTATTTACTGGGCTTGGATGAGCCATTCGGCAATCCGTAAGTAGGATGTCAGAAGAAGAAGAATGAAGATCATAACATTTTCTAATGAGGCCGTACTCGTCTGCTATGAAGCTAAATATTGTACCATCCGTTCTTCAAATACCTGGTGGGTTTTCCATAGTTAGCAGATCTGTGGTGATTTCTTTCGCTTTGATTGTGTTAATAGTCTTAGGTAGAAGCTATTTGGTAGCAGGATTGCAGCTGAGATCACAGATTGTGATTAACTTTGTGATCGAGTCTTTCGCCATTAGAGTTGCTAACCCCTCCAGTATAGTCTTTTCTGTCTGACAATAGTTTTTGGCAAGGCTGGTGCTTTTACGATTGGATTTTTAGGGACTCTGCACATACAATTTAGAAAATTAACTCCTACTCGACCGGTTGCAGAGTATTTGGACTAGGATCACGTTTTGCAACCCTGCTCTGTTAGGCAAAAGATTGCTAGATTTGGATTCATCATCGTGGCACATTGATTTTTTTAACATTACTAATTAGACGTGGTATCTGATGCTCTCTCTATGTTTTGAGCCTAACGTCCAGAATGGCCGTTACCCACAGCATCACATGAGTGGTCCCCAGTACGAAACGAAGTGTGTCTACGTCCGGGCTCGAACCCAGACCACAATGTGTTCCTGAAATTTGCGTGCAAATACGTTCCCGCTCTGCTACTATGGAAGCAATACCAGATGTCCTGCAGTGAAGCTTTATATCATTTATATGTTAAATACTCGAACAATCACTGAAATCTTTAAAAAACAGAAGTCGATCCAAAGTGCCTTATGCATTTCCATATCTCGTTTCTCTATAGCTTTAGTCTATAGTTTATTTCGAAATTGCAAACCTTTGAGTAATTTAACTTCGAAGGTGATAAATTTAAGTCTCGTATTGCCAGACTTGCTCCTATTTATGTTCTATTAAGCAATCAATATCATACTCATTTCATCTTTTAACGATATAACAAAACCTCAGCCAGGCCTGTTTATTATATTCTTCACCTATCGTATGCATTACGTGAAAGATTTCTATGATGTACGACGTCCTACACAGCATCCTATATTCGCAATCTAGGTCCAAATTTAGGGTAATTACACGAAATGCGAAATTCATTATGCATACATTTGGGTTCCAGATTGACCCAGAAGAAAACACTGGCCACTATAACGTGTCTTAGCCAAGATTACCCGTGACCACACGCATCATATCTGGTCTTATCCACGCCTATTTTATTTGAAAGACCTGCAATGTATTGAATATGGATGTGTACAAAACGTTGAGACTGAACGTACTAGGTTAGGTTATCAGCTGGCGTACGACTTAATTGTATTGGCTTGGTGAGATCCAGGCAGCGGTAAGGTTTTGTTGAGATGCGCCCCCATCGTCTCCACCACAGTGCAACCGAGGGCCAAATCGGTGTCTGTCTCTTTCTGCAGTTTCTTTACCGGCTATGTAATTTAGACAGGCAGGCATCTTTCCAGCTTCCACAATGTGTCTTTCTTCATTCATATAGTATTCATATGGTTTGCCGCGCGTCCCGATTTAGGCTGTTCGGTAGGGGTACGTTAAAGCCGCGAAAGCGAGGGGCATTAGCGCTCGCCTCCAACTTCTGAGATACGGGGAAGTGGCAGTAACAGCGGCATTAGGAAAAGAAACGGAAAGAAGATTTGGCGTTTATGGGGTCGCTACCGTCGGACTATTTGCCTAGTATATTTAATAACGCCGCTGCAGAGAAGATGTGGTACATATTTCCGCCTGCTGTCGCCGCAAGGTCGAACGTGAGTACGGCGTATATTAAGCAACTCTACGATGCGGGCTGCGATGTATGTTCACTTGCACAGTGCAAAGACCTATGGGCTTGTATGTCTTTCAAAGGCATTTGAAGAACCGGTTGTGGCAACAACCGTAATAGAAAGTAACTAGCGTATTGCCTTCTGAAAACGAGAAAATCACAGACTAAGACACGGTGACACGTCGCAGACAGAGCTTAGGACGTGGGTAAGTTTCAGCACTGTCGCACGGTTTGAAATCACTGGTACACTACCAGCTGCTGGAGAAAACGCATCGGCAAACAAATTACGTGGAACTTATTACAACTTA